ACCCACACATACCCCCTAGGACTTTGCCAAGTACCCCTGGTTGACAACTCCTGGTATAGTGCATCACAGGGTATCGTGACACATTCCTCAGCTCTGCCTTCTTAGTCTCCACTACCATTCCAGTCCTGCATTTGCTATGTGCAGTAACTACTGATTATTGTGTCAAAATTATGTGTACAACAGACAAGGAAGTGACAATGGAAAGAAGGGAAAAGACAAAACAGGTAAAATAGTGATCTGTGGGAGTAAAGGACAGGGTAGACAAAATGAAGCAAATTCAACTCTGGTGAAAGCTGAGATATTTCCACTGATGTCAAAGGGAGCTGAGCTTACTTAAATCAAGGCTGAATGAGTCTGGCTAAATACCAGAGAGGCAGGATGGGAGTCCTATGTAAAAGTGTTAATAGATTCTGTTTTCTTATTAAACTGGTCTTATTCATTAAGGGTTTTCTTGCCAAAATAAATGTTCTGTCTCAGTAATGTCCTGTAACTGAACAATTTCCTTATCATGCCAACATAAATCATTAAGTTGATGTGAGATTAAAAGACAAATGTTGTGAATTCATAGATCAGTGGGGGAAAAAACTGGTCTGAAGTGGGATCCTGACAAATTTATAATTCCAGCGCACCTCTGTAGGTGCTGGTGCTGGGACTTATTTTTGAAAAGACAAAATTTTACAGCCAATTTTTTTTTGAACTGTGAGTGCTTAAAGTTATATCAAAGTTTTAGTAATATCATGACTGTCTGGAGTTCCTAATTCCAGCTCCCAGTAAAATCAAGATCTGTATGTTGGAATCTCTGCCATCACTTTCATTGATCTGTTTCAGTATGGCTATAGAAAATTAAGGCACTCATGCTTAAAAACTTCAGCCTTTGCACTCTTATTCTCCCTTCACTTACGCCAGTGCAAGTCAAGAGTAACTCTATCAATAGAAGTTCCACAAGTGCAAAATTTGTGTAACAGAACAGAAAGTTCAACTCAAAGGACTTAAACAGGAAGGATAAAAAAGGATAATTTTATCCCTAAAAGCTTTGAATTATTTTTACAGCACCCAAAAATCACACTCACCTGCTTCATTGTTTCTTGTGGCCACCTGTAAAAAGGAATGGACATATTTTAGTATGTATATCATCATCAGAAGAAACGTATATATATAGAATCACAACAGATGCTCTGCCATACTGAAATACTGATTGACTGATCATCAACGATGCAAGTTCTTAAATGCTATGGTAGCTTAGACATACCTGGACAGGTTTACCTACTACAAAGCTATGGAGACCTGTTAAAAGGGCTGACAGGAGAATCAAGTTCATGCTTAGGTTTCTATGCAAGTCCTCTCTGTTCTGGCGTTCTGTTCCCAAAGGTCTAGCAAGCTTACTTGTGAGAAGTTTTATAGGAAAGATTTTGTTTTAATAAGTGTAACAAAATTGTAACATGATGTATTTTCAAAGAACAAACAAGCTGCAGAAATTCCCAGAAGAGTTGCCAAGCTGTCATTTATCTTATTTATCTTTAGAAAGCACAGGAAGTGGAGCAATCAGACACAAAATACCATAACATTTAGATGACTCATGTTAAACTCTGTAAGGAGCCCAGGAACTGCTTCAGGTTTCCCCATCATCAGTGTGAGGCCTGGGAATCTTAAATAGTGAGTGGGTGTGCTGAGTTCAGGGGGGACCTGCATAATTTCCTTCCTTGCAAAACTGGAGGGACAGAAGTTACACATAAATCGGTTTAAGTGATCAGAAACCAGTTTAACCCTGTAACAGAACAGAAGTTCAGTGTATATAAACCACTTTCAAAATGGCCAAAACCAGTTTAAGGTAAATCTGGTTGGATGTAGTATCAGACTTAACTGATTTAGGTCAAACCAGTTTATGGAACTTCTGTCCCAGATCCCTTCCTGGTTCTAGATAACTCTCAGTCCCCCAGCGTCCCAGAATGCTTTGCAACCTTGGGCTGTGCTGCACTATCTGCTCCAGCAGAGAAGTATCTGTCCTGCCCTTCTGCTCCCTAGCTGGAGCAATATCACTGCTCTGACTGGCAGAGAAGGGGGTTGGGGAGAAACCCTAGCACCAGATGCCAGCCAGGGGCTATCCCCCACCTGCTTGAGCAGGGAGTGGGTTAAACTCCCATCCTGGCCTGCACTGGCCCTAGTTGGGGTCTGCCTGGCTGAGGCCTGCCTGGCTGAGGCAGGGGAGTAAAGGGGAAGCCCTCAGATGCTTCAACTCCCTCCCCCACCACTGAAGCAGAGAGGGGAGCACGGCTAGGCCCTGGCCTAGCCAGCTGAGTTGGGGGGGGGGGAGGGTTAAAACCCAGCCAGAGTTGGTGCAGGCCAGGGTTAGGGTTTAACCCCACCGCATCATACTCATCCAGCCAGGCCAGGGCCTGGACACGCCCCCGCCCCCCATATCCATTGGAGCAGGGAGTGGGGGGAGAAACCTCTGAGGACTTCCCCCTTAGCACCCTGCCCCAGCCAGGCAAACCCCAGCTGGGGTTGATGTGGGCCAGGGCGGGGGTTCATACCCCTAACCCCCATCATACTCAGCCAGCTGGGCCAGGTGGGGCCTGGCCATGTCCCCTCTCTCCACTCGAGCAGGGAGGGAATGAAAAGCCTCAGAGGGTTTCCCTCCCAGCTTCCCTCTATTCCCTTCTGCAGTGGCTGGCAGGCTGGGAGGCATGCTTTAACACTCCCCAGCTTCTAGCCTGAGCCACTGCAGGCATGTGGCTACATTTCTGGAATCAAAAGTGAATGTCTGGTCACTTGCTTATCAGTTCAATCTACGTAGTTTAGACTAACTTGCAAAGATTGAACTGATTCAGCTTTTTGACTGTCTGTACTTAGCCTTGGAGCTAAGCTGTAAGGAAGTTGCGACATAACGACAGTGATTCCAGAGCTTTTGCACAAAATAAACCAAGACCTGCTAAGTTTGTGGGCCAGGCCTCTGGTTTCTTTTTCATGGAAAGGATCAAGAACCAACTCCCATTGCCTTCGAGGGAGAAATTCAGATGAAATTCTAGGATCTGCAACAGATAATACAAAAATGGTCCCTAAAAAAGGTTTCTAGATAGGGGAAGGATCTGATCCTCTGTTTTAACTCAGTCCTTTCCTGGCCAAACTCCAAGTGAAACAAAAAAGGGAGAAAAATAGACATTTTTCAATAGTTGCTTATATGTATCTATGTATTTGAATTGCATGTCTAAAATTACTAAACTGTTAAACTTATTCACATCTTTTTCTGACTTCTAAATTTAACTATATTGTGGTATTTTTCACAAAGAACACAATAAGAAACTGAGAACTGAGACACAGACACAGGAGACCTCTAACTGGCCATGTCTACATATTCATTAATGTGCTTTTGCTACTGTGCATTAAATCGAGTAGCTCTAACGTGAGGTACTAAATAAATGTGCATTAGGCTGCCCTAATGTGCAGAAGCAAAAGTGCACACTTTTTTAGTGATGCTCAGTGCACAGTAGTCCATTTTTACTATGTATTAGCATATTAACATGGTTTTAATGCACAGTAAAATAAGCTATTGTACATTAAAGCACACATGTAGATGCACTCACTGATAAAGCAGCAAGTATAGAAGTCTGCATTGGGTGGTTCTGTTGGTTGCTAGCGAGCTTCCCAATAAGCTAGAAGGTGCAAGGCCACCCTCCACCTTGTTTTCTGCAGATCTAACTGAGAAGAGAGATGTAAGGAGTCCCAGGATTACATTTATGCAGCTGCATATGAAAATATGATACAGGTGGCCAGCAGCAAAAATTATTATACAACAAAATATGGGAAACAAAGACCAGACCACCATGGAAAGCCTCGATCCGAGTCATTCTGTGTGTGCATCAAGGAGGGTACCTTTGAAGTTCTGCCATGAATTTTTGTGTATTCATTCTGTGGAATGTGCTTCATACTGCTTTATTGAATCCAGTTGCATACTGAGGCCAGACTGATCCCTGAAGTTAATGGAGTTACATTATGAAACAATTCAATATATATTAACTATTGCAAAGATCAGGTACTTTTTCCAAGCTAATCATCAATGATCCCAAATCACATGTTGCCTGCTAACCTTGTATTATCAAGGATAAGAATCTCTCTGAAGTGAATTTCCTTCTGGTACCATGTCTATGTAAATCTGCTTTAATATTCTGGTAAAATAAATGTCAGTGCTGGGTTTCATTATCTATCCAAACAATTTGGCTGAACAGAGGTAGTTTGCACTCTTTTCCTTCCCTGCCACCCCCACTGTCTTGCTCCATATTTCTTTTCAGCCAGATGGTTCTTGATCTGCTATACGATTTGTCACTGTTCTTTCTTAGTAACAGTGATGTGATGGTCATAGTTTCTATTTTTACAAAAAAAATCAACCTTGTAATTGTCTGTGCCATTATATAACAGGACTCTCTCCGGTCAGAGCCTTTCCTTGTGCATGACCTTGAAAGAAGGAATTGAGGTTTTAGGCTTTATTCATACAGAGGATTCCCAGGCAATTTCTCATCACTGCACTAGCACTGGTTCAGGTCCACAGATTATACCACTGTGATAAAACTAACACAGACTTTTCCCAGGTATTTTATCACTGTGTCACTATGATGAGCAAGTGATAGAGAACCAGCAAATCTGCCTAATCACATCCTCAGGGTGATTGAACTAGATTGGTCCATGTTATACATGAAACCCAGTGCCTACACAACCCTGCCTTTTCGTCAGTCAGATATAATAGGTAGGGGAATACTGACAAGTGTCTGTTCAACATATTTCCTCCAGGCCTTCAGCAATTTGGTGAAGGGCAAACCTTGTCCCTAGTTCCAGCCTTCATGCCATCCTGCTAAGCTCCATTTCTGGCCACTAATCTTACCAACCTGAATTCTTGTCCCAGCCTTGCTGCCCTTGTTCAGACTCACCCTCCTATTCCCTCTGTTCTCAGACTCCACCATAAATCAGCAATTCCTTACTTGCTTGTTCTTTGGACTTCAGTTCTGAGTCAGACCCCGCCCGGCTTTCAGTCCTGCCATAACAATTGTTCCATCCATACTCAGCCCATGATATTGCCCTGAGAATTGTTAAATGATACAGTGACAGAAAATGTATATATCTTTTGATATTTAAATAGAGAGTTTATTTAACCATAGGTACTGTCACATGGAAGCGACAGGAATAGAAAATCCACACACTTCTCCCAGGGGAGAAAATCCATAGGATGTCTTGCCTTCCACTCCTTGGAAGCTGTCTTCTTTCTTGGTTACAGAGCTAATAGGCATGAGGCCCCATGTGGAATGTAAAGCATGGAAAAATGAAAGGATTTTTAGGCTTATGCTAAACTTAGTCAGGACCCATGCCTCTGCTCAGCTTGCCAGCTATTCATTTTGATCATTTTAGACAAAAAAAAACAAACCATGGATTTAGATCAGGTGAGAGCTTGCCTTAAGAGTTTAATTATGTCAGGATTCTATGGAGCAACACACAGGCATCCTAATAAAATTATATACGTATTATTTCCTTCTTGTCACCATCAAGTCAATTCCCAAAGTTCCTTTTACTCCACAAACAAATAATCAATAAGGTGGCAGACAAGTTCAGCACCTTCTTAGAATAAATGTGTTACAGCTTCCAGGCAGGCAAGGTTCAACTTACAGCTCCCATTCATAATAGTACTAAGTGTTCATACAATTTAAGTCCCTTGATTTACTATTTACATTGATGGTTTGTGAAATAGCCAAGAAAAGACTTTACTAAATGCCTATTTCACTGGCCCCTGATAGTCCTGGATAGTCAGATAATGTGAGTTTAATAACGGGCGTGTGGCTGAAACAAATAAATTGTCCAGAGGACTCATGCTTCATAATGAACTAAAAAACAGATATTTTCTCACAGGGATGTGTTTAATGTTACAATAAAAGTGGAATGATTTGGCATGGTATATATGTAGAGAAAGAAAATCTATAATAGTTTTAGAGCACAACATGTTAAGTGTCAACAGTGATACACTTTTAAAATCTGAAGGATGGATAAAGAAATATTATGTGAAGACAAGCAACCTGGGTATTTACAAGGCTTAGCAAATATTTCAGGTATCTTCAGCACCATAGTTCAGCAGCACATACATTTTGCTCTGAGGTTTGAGTTCATACAACATCTAAAATCAAAAATAAAATTCCCAAAAGGAAACAACTGACCACAGTGAATTCCATCAACTCTGTCACCAAACCACGCCACTGTCCCACAGCCATCTTGACATAGCCCATTCTTCATTCTTTTCTAATCATCTTCTTGTGTGGTTGTTCAGGAGGTGGCTCACAAACCCAACATATATCATTCCATTCTCTAGTATCTTCAAGAGGAGAAAATAGGCTGCTCACAAAGGTGCACTGATTCAAATAATTAGCAAGGATGAACCTAAATTTAATTTAGCAACTTTCCTCTTGGTTTATGTTTGATTTTTTCTTTTTTAATTTTCATAAAGAAAAGCTTA